CAAAGCCACGAGCATCCCTGCTGATAGAGTCCCTGACATGGGAAAAAGACAGCTCATGAATCTGCTTCTTCTTGGTGCCATTTCACTCCCCAGTGCTGGAATGCTTATTCGCTACACCTACTTCTTCGTTCCTCCAGGGTAACTTTCTCTTCTTGGTTAGCCTCACAATTGTATTTCTCATCACATTAATTATTTACAATTTTTTGTTGTCAAATTAGTCCCTAACTGATGCAACATGTTTCCTTAATCCTTGAAAGATTTTGTCATCAAATTACTTTGTTAAGGGTTTAATTTGTTTCTTTAATTTTATTTTGTACTTCATCGCTTTAGTCTTGCTTAAGGGTGAATATGGTGACATTTTAAATCAATAAGGAGCTAATTTAGTAACGAATATTTTAGGACTAATGTGGTGTCGTGTGTAACTTTGGAGAACTAAGTTGAGAGTTTACTCTAGTATATGTACTTCTCAAAATATAAAATAGCATTTGCTGATAATTCTTTTGTACAAATAAGATATCATAACTCCTCTGATGAAAATATCTCCCAACAAACAAATACCAAAATACAACCTATCACCTTTTATTTGATGGTAATTCGATGAGAGAGTTTTCTCAAACCTTGAATAATTAGCTTCTGCTTTGTTGGATGCGCAGCCTCTTCTTCAATAATTGTATTATTACTTGAAGCTAATTTGTAAATCATGCTTTTAATTGGTGTGATTATAATTGTGATGATTTTTGTAGTGGGAGGGAAAGAAGAGATGGAAGTTAAAAATTTGCACATTCATAATATTGGGGGAGGAGTACTGAATTGTATTTCTTTCTGTTTGCAATTTTGCCTCAATTCTTTAGTATTTAGTATCCAAAAGTTTGATAACTAGTTTCTGGTCCAGTGAGTTGGCGGATACATGTAGCAAGGCCAAAAGAAGTTTGATAATTAACTATTAATCTTCCAATGTACTGCTTTTGATTATTCAATCCAAGTTTCTTCATCTATACAAACCATTAACACGAATGAGAAAAAAAATTACAGTTCAGGGTCTTCAGCTGGTGGTACTGTTGCCAAGGATGCTGTCGGAAATGATGTAGTTGCAGAGCAATGGCTCAAGGCACATGGACCTGGTGACCGAACACTTACACAAGGATTGAAGGTGAGTGTACAGCTGCTTAGTGTTTGTGTTCTTATTGATCTTCAACAAGTTGCAGATGCCTCAATTCGGTGTCGTTTCTCATTGCATCTTTTCTTCAATTCTTGGAGCTCTTTTCTTTCCTCAACAAATTTATCTTGCAAACACTGCCAATTTTATAGAGTGAAAGTGAAATATAAACTATAGTTCTAGCTACATAAACCAAAGGTTTGGCCTAGAAGTGAAAATGATTTCCTTCTCAGCTTCCAACCATAAAAACTTTTTAGACAAAACTTAGATGCAGTACTTTTGGTGTGATTCTCCAATCACAATTGGAGTTTTGCCTGAGTGACCTTTATTCATCTTTAATGCAAAACTTATTATGTAGATTATCGAGATAAATTTTCAACAACACTAAAAGCACATAATGAACTACAAATAAGTTTTGTGCTAACTTTTTCATAAATCCACAATTTGAATCACACCCTCTTTATTTACAGGGAGATCCTACCTATCTTGTGGTGGAGAAAGACAGAACCCTTGCAACATATGCAATTAATGCCGTGTGCACTCACCTCGGATGCGTCGTGCCGTGGAATCAAGCCGAGAACAAGTTCATCTGCCCCTGCCATGGATCTCAGTACAATGACCAAGGAAGAGTTGTGAGAGGACCTGCTCCATTGGTAAGTAAATACGAAAAACATGTCTTTTGAGAAATTCATGGTACTTGGACTTTAGAAGGATGGTATCCAAACTTCCTTATGATTAGTTTCATCACAACCCCGGAATTGTTCAATTTTCAATCTTTGTTCCACTTATCTGTTGCCTGAACAATGATGAATGTTTTTGTTGTTGGACAGTCTCTGGCATTGGCGCATTGTGATATAGATGAGGGGAAGGTCGTGTTTGTTCCTTGGGTTGAAACAGATTTCAGAACAGGTGATGCTCCATGGTGGGCTTAGACATCTTAAAGCCGTCCCTCTGTTGTCATATATATTTAAATATGAAATTCAAACATTCTGTTTTGTATTAATGCATAAATATATTTTGTAATCATGTTGATATTTTGTGAACTGAAGCTAAGATGGAAAGGAACCTGAACAGGCTTCTTTTTCCCATGTAATTTTTCATCATACTCTCCCACGGGAAAATTGACTATTACCAAGTCCTGGACTGCAATGGTTCCAATTCATATCCACTCAACACATAATCAAGTTTTATTAATTTTTGTTGGTAAATCAGAAACCTTATATGTCACATAAAGGATTGACTGGGATATTTGCCACGTAGTGATCCAGATCATCTAATAATTTCTCGTGAGCCTTTTCTCTGTTCTTATTTTCTTCATTTAATGCAAAGCATTGCTTAGTGCTGCCAAATATTGAACCTTAGGTATCCTTGCCATACCTTTTATCAAGTTTTTCTATAGTGCAAACAAGGTTAAGATGTGGTGAAGATGCACTCACATAACGGATCATTCTTGATTTATATAGGACTATGAAGTTCTAGTTATTTTCATTCTATATCTCATTAATTTCCATTCACCTCCTTTGTTTTAAGCCACTCTAATTTTTTTTTCCCTCTTACAACCAAATGGCCCCGTAAAGCACCTGCAACTTGTTGAAGATCTATGAGCTATACGGTTCACAATCTGTAGGCTAGTTCCAAATAATCCAGGTCATGGATCAAGCAAAAAAATCATGGTCCATGCATTTTTGAGGACGCCAATCACTTGTGCATATGGATATTTTTAATAAAAAATAAATAGCTATCATTTAAAGAAAATATTTAAAAAAAATATTTTAAATTGACCTGCAAATTACTTTAAAGACTTATTATGAAGGTATTCCCAAATTTTAAGGTACACGTAGAGGGAATTAAGAAATTGAAAAACAGAGATAAATTGACAAATTTGATTAGTAATAAGTGATGTAATAAGAGGTAAAAAAGATATAAGTGTTTTTTCTTATGGATGATTTACATTTATTTTATTACTAAATTTCATTTGTATGTGTTTTTTTTTTTTTTTATCTTTAAATATTATGACAAAATCTCTAGGTTGTTACACGTAATAGATTAATGTTATAAAATTAATGATTAATAAATGTTAAATTGGTTGTAAACTTAAATTTTCATATTTTTAAAAGGAAGAAATCAAATGTCCCGATTCTAAATAAAAGGATTTAAAATTAGATATTGATAAAAATAATAAATTAATTATTTGGATAACTTTGATATAATGTATAATTTAGATAAATTATTATTATTATTATTATTATTATTATTATGTAATTATTATGCATTTCAACAATAAATAATGATAAAAATAATCATATAAACAATGTAAAATTATTTATATCAATAAATAAATTAATTTAATAGATGAGTTATTTTTAATTCTAAGATAAAATATAAAGAGGTGTGAAGTGTTTCGTGTTGCTAATTATTATTATTAATATAAAATATTCATCATTAAAGTAGCAATTAATTTTTATTAAAAAATTGTGAACATATATAAAATAAATATTTTTCATAATTTATTTTATATAAAAATTCGCATCCTTACAAATATACGAGCTGATTTTATAAATTAATCCCTTTAAGCACGTGCACAAAGAGTAAACACACTCATATTTACTTGATTTTAAAACACTGGTCAACTAGACAAACTTTATTATAAAACAGAAATAAAATAAATTGTGTAACATTAGTAAGAATGCGCGTGGTTTGAAATTTAAATACATGCACTAGCCAATATCAATGTGAAGACAGAAGATTTCGCGTCAGCATTGTGACATATTCAACCCCGGGAAGGGCACTGTATGAACACAAAACATGAGAAGTTGAATTCAGATTTTAAAGCATGATCATCAACGTAAAGGAGAATACATGCGGGTGTTCATGGATCGATTTTTTTTAAAAATTGATCTAAACTGAATCGAACCGTTTTATAAAAGTAGATCGGTTAACCGATCCATTTTTTATAGAGTGGATCGGTTTGGTTTTTTTTAAAATATGGATCAATTTTTTTGAAATTGGATCGGTTCGGTGCAGTGCAGTTATCTACTTTTTATTCATATATAGATCGGTTTTTTTAAAAAATCAAACCAAACCGAACCGATCCACCTTGTAAAAATAGATTGGATAATTGAATCGGTTTTATAAAGTAATTTGGTTCGGATTTTTTTTTAAAATAGATCGAATTTTTTAATATGATTCAGATCAATTTAAATTTTTTGCGCAGCCCTACATAAGTACCATTAGATAAATTCATTGAAGCACATCTATTTGTGACGGTGTGCCACACCAGACACTTTTGGTCAAATGATTACACATCTCAAGTTTCACCTTTGACTTATAGCTGCCATGTTCCCTCCATCAGTTTCAATATTCTGCTTCATCAACTTCCTTTCAGCCACTTCTCTTTTTCTTTCTCTAGCAGTAATCTACAACGATAGTAAGCCTTCAATATTTTCTTCATTTTCCATTCATGTAGTTTTCATGCTATGTTGTGTTGCGTCCCTTCATTTTTTTTCCATTATGTTTTTCACTATTTTTTTATTTTTTATTTTTACACAATTGATGCTTATTTTGTTTTCTTAATGGGTAATGCTATGTAATAATTTTCTGTATATGGTTCAAACATGCATTTTTGGTCTTTCTTTCCCTTTCACATTGCCTAGCTAAAAGCTTGTTCATTAATCATCATTTTGAAGTTGAAACTAAAGCGATGGCTGCAAATTGCCAAATACTGTTAATTGCAATGCCTGCGCTGCGCCGGAACTATTATATATATAATGACGAATATTGTAGGTGTCGTTATCACATATGAATATGACACATTTGACTTTTATCAACTACAGTATATAGATTCCAATACTAATATTACTCTTGTTAGGTTTATTGTTTTATTCGATATTTATCTATATCATAAAGAGAAGAGGAGGGTTATAATTTTATTATTTTTTTATTTAGCATTTTTTTGAAAGGGTATTTATATTTGTTATTTGATTTTTTTATTAGATTATTTTACACATAATTACATAATTGTAAGATATTATTTGTTTTCGTCTAAACTCTCACAATTCTATTTTTGATTATGTCTTTTAACTATTAGAATATATGTACTTTATAAATTCTTATTTTTCTTATTATTTTATCAATATTAAACATTTTTTGTATTTTATTAATTATATAAAATCTTGTTTGTAACTCATAATTATATAAAACCTTATTTGTATTCTAATAATAGTTCCCTTAAACAAAGGACTTGATCTTTCATTTAACATAATTTATCTTTATATATTATTATATTATTTATTATTTTTTTATTATAACTTATTAGTTATCATCAAATATAACTTACGTTATGTTATTGGTATTTTGTAAATATATATTTTTATTAGAAGGGTATGACCTAATTTTATTCATAAGCTCTTTATATATAAAGAAAAATTGTAATACAAGAATCTAATATTTATATCTTATTCTAAAAATAAAAAATAAATTTTAAAATAATCTAAACAAATTAAATTTAATAAAACATAAATAGAAAATTCCTATAAAAACTAATTTATTTTTCTATATTTAAGAATATTTCCACCGACTCTTACTATTATTATAAGATTCTTCTCACTTTTCAAGTAGTATTTGTTCATATTTAATAAGAACAAGAAATACACCTGGTTTTGTCATTGATTTAAGGAACAAATACTATATTTTTTTTTAAAATTCATATTAAATTCTACCGTTTCTATTTTACTTTATAAAGTCATAGGTGGTACCTGGGGCGTCTTGAGGTAATAGATTATATATACACTTTGAAGCCTTGAGGTAATCAATTTACTATCTTACAGAACTTGATTGAAAAGAAGCATCCACGGAAGGCATGGTCAACAGTGAGGTTCCAACACGTCTTGAGGTTTGTGCAATTGTGCCTGGATCTATCTATTACTCTATAGCTTAGAAACGCAAGCTGAATTATCTTTTAATTTCTATAATTTGGAATAGGGAAAATATGCTGCAATAGTGGTTTGCTGGCTCCTTGGCAATGGATGCCTTTTCTCATGGAATAGTATGCTGACAATAGAAGATTACTACGGATACTTATTTCCCGTAAGTGAAATATATTTTTCTGATTAATTATCTTACCTCTCATTCAAATTTATGCAATGTTTTAGAGACCTTTTTATCAATATATTATATGCTAATTGTTTTATAACAGAATTGTCCTGGTATAGAAACTTAGACATAGTTTAATTTCTTTTTGTCCCCTTGTGCAGAAATACCACCCATCTAGGGTGCTTACTCTTGTTTATCAGCCATTTGCAGTTGGAACACTTGCAATACTGACGTATAATGAGGCAAAACTCAATACACGAACACGGAATCTGTTTGGATATATACTTTTTTTCATTAGCACTTTGTTGGTGTTAATTGTAAGTCCTATTAATTTGTTTGTGAACTTGCATTAGTTCTCTTTAGGATGGTTTTTATTTTATTTTTCCTACCAATCTGCTGTAGTTAAATTTAGCAACATCTGGTAAAGGAGGGATTGGAACTTTCATCGGTATATGTGCACTTAGTGGTGCTTTTGGAGTTGCAGATGCTCATGTTCAAGGTGGAATGGTGGGAGACTTGTCCTACATGAAACCAGAATTCATTCAGGTCAGCATCAGTGATATAATTATTACCAAGTTATTAAATATACCTTCAGATTATTAATTTATTTAATATGGTTTTATTGTTACAGTCTTTCCTTGCTGGTTTGGCAGCATCTGGTGCATTAACCTCTGCTTTGAGGTTAATTACAAAAGCAGCATTTGATAATTCTGGGGATGGTCTTCGCAAAGGAGCCAGTAGGTTCAACTCTCCAATACCTGAGAAATCGATTGTTTCTCTTTTGTTTCCAAATTGAATATGAATAAATACTTCTATAGTCTCACTAATATTTCTACTTTTGATTTCCTTGATGTTTGACATGACAGTGGTTCTAACTAACAAAATTTTATTGAAATCGCTTTGAGTTGTGTGTAGTCAATTTTGTCAGGAATAAGTCTGGAAATTGATCCTTTAATCTAATATTTAAGTCCATGAACATATTTATACTTTTGTGGTTTATTGAAGATTTATAATTGTTTTATCAGCAACAAATATGAGGTAGCAGAACAATTCCTTTTGTTTTAGTAAAATAATAGTCCTCTGTCATTGCTTTTAAGGGAGATTGTTATTAGATATGCAGTTAGTTAAGTTTTAGTTACTTCTCACATTGAACATTTATATATATATATATATATATATATCGGT